CTTTGCCAATGAGCTATATTCTGTTTGCGGACATGTTTTATTGTAACATCCCACATCGACCAACGGAGAGAGGGTGATGTGCCTTATATGTACATACCTACCTCCATCTAGCACGAGGCCTTTTAAGAGCTCACTGGCTTCGGAGTTATAAGAACTTTGAAGTTAAGAGAGTTGGAGCTAAAGCAATCCCAGGATGGGTGACCCACTGGGAAGTTGCTTGTGAGCTCCTAGAAACAAAACCGTGAGGGCAGAGAGGAGGCACAAATCAGACAATATCGTGCTACGGTGGAGTCGATCCCCAGATGTATTGTGAGCTCCTAGAAACAAAACCGTGAGGGCAGAGAGAGGGGTCAAAGCGGACAATATCGTGCTACGGCGGATCCGATACCGGGATGTGACAATTTGGCATCAGAGCCACTCTACCGTGTGGTGCGAGTGTGCCGACGAGGACGTCGGGCCCCTAAGGGGGGTGGATTGTAACATCTCACATCGACCAACGGAGAGGGAGTGATGTGTCTTATATGTATATGCCCACCTCCATCTAGCACGAGGCCTTTTGGAAGCTCACTGGCTTCGGAGTTATAAGAACTCCGAAGTTAAGCAAGTTGGGTGACTCACTGGGAAGTTACAATGAGCCCCCAGAAACAAAACCGTGAAGGTAGAGAGGGGGCCCAAAGCGGACAATATAGTACTATGGCAGAGCAGATCCCGTGCATGACCAGAAGCTTTAGTATCTCTTTGCCTATGAGCTATATTCTGTTTGCGGACATGGTTTATTGTAACATCTCACATCGACCAACGGAGAGGGAATGATGTGCTTTATATGTACATGCCCACCTCCATCTAGCATGAGGCCTTTTAGGAGCTCACTGGCTTCGGAGTTATAAGAACTCCGAAGTTAAGCGAGTTGGGGCTAAAGTTGCTCGTGAGCTCCTACAAACAAAATCGTGAGGGCAGAGAGGGGGGCCAAAGTGGATAATATCGTGCTACGGCGGAGTTGATCCCGAGATGTGACAATTTGATATCAGAGCCACTCTGCCGTGTGGTGCGAGTGTGCCGACGAGGACGTCGGGCCCCTAAAGGGGTGGAATAAACAAAATCGTGAGGGCAGAGAGGGGGCCCAAAGAGGACAATATCGTGCTACGGCGGAGCAGATCCCGGGCATGGCAGGAAGCTTTAGTATCTCTTTGCCAATGAGCTATATTCTGTTTGCGGACATGTTTTATTAGTGAGGGCAGAGAGGGGGCCCAAAACGGACAATATCGTGCTACGGCAGAGCAAATTCCGGGCATGACAGGAAGCTTTAGTATCTCTTTGCCTACTGGCTATATTCTGTTTGTGGACATGGTTTATTGTAATATCTCACATCGACCAACGGAGAGGGGGTGATGTGCCTTATATGTACATGCTCACCTCCATCTAGCACGAGACCTTTTAGGAGCTCACTGGCTTCGGAGTTATAAGAACTCCAAAGTTAAGCGAGTTGGGGCTAAAGCAATCCCAAGATGGGTGACCCATTGGGAAGTTGCTCGTGAGCTCCTAGAAACAAAACCATGAGGGCAGAGAGGAGGGCCAAAGTGGACAATATCGTGCTACGGCGGAGCTGATCCCGGGATATGACAATTTGGTATCAGAGCCATTCTGCCGTGTGGTGCGAATGTGCTGACGAGGACGTCGGGCCCCTATGGGGGTGGATTGTAACATCTCACGTCGACCAACGGAGAGGAGGTGATGTGCCTTATATGTACATGCCCACCTCCATCTAGCACGTCGCCTTTTGGAAGCTCACTGTCTTCGGAATTATAAGAACTCCAAAATTAACTGAGTTGAGGTTAGAGCAATCTCATGATGGGTGACCCACTGGGAAGTTACTCGTGAGCTCCCAGAAATAAAACCGTGAGGGCAGAGAGGGGGCCCAAAACGGACAATATCGTGTTACGACGGAGCAAATCTGGGGCCTGGCAGGAAGCTTTAGTATGTCTTTGCCTACGTTCGATATTCTGTTTGCGGACATGGTTTATTGTAACATCTCACATCGACCAACGGAGAGGGGGTGATGTGCCTTATATGTACATGCCCACCTCCATTTAGCACGAGGCCTTTTAGGAGCTTACTGGCTTCGGAGTTATAAGAACTCCAAAGTTAAGCGAGTTGAGGCTAAAGCTGTAACAATCCGGTCTTTAATTAATATTTAATTATTAATTTATTATGGTAAAAGGCCACTATACTCCTAGAATATTTTAATGGTATGAAAATTAACTTTTTGACCGGGAAGGAATTTGGGGATTTCAGTTGTACCGTTGCGTAGAGCGCGACGAAATTAGTTCGTAGACACATAGTGGACTCAAATCAGAGTTGTAACGAAGGAGTTACGATCAAAATAAGTTCAGTGGCATAACCGTAAATACTTCAAACTTCAGTTTTTAAAACCCAGTTTTCTTCCTCCTCCTCCAGTTCGACCGGCCGACTTTAGGATAGGGTTTCTCTTAGCTCCGACAACCAAATTGAGCAAGACCAGTGCCAAACGAACCACCACACTCTCCTCTTTCAGTCTTAACCCATTCCAGCCGTGATCCACCGGTGTGGTCGCCAGAAACCACCACGAAATAGGGCGGTTTGGACAGTTTTTTATGGAATTTCAAGGAGCTCGTTCGAACACCTCCGACCACCAAATCGGACGAGTGAGGTATGATTTTCTAGCTATTTTTTATGTTCTAGTTGCTGGTTGGGTCGGATTTCAGAGATTTCAAGCGTAGATCGTTCGATTTTTAAGTTAGGTTTCAGCAGACTTTCAGGTCACTGTTCCGGCCAATTTTTAGGGTAGGCCCAAGAAAAAAAGTGATTCCAAATGGGGTGTTATACCTTGGATAGGAGTCTTGAGCCTAGATGTTGGGTTTTTCGTGCGAGGCGTTATCGCTTTAGGCACCATGCGCTGCGAGTGCGTGGGCAGCAGGGTGGGGACCACAGTCAGTCCTAGAATGATGTCCTAGCCTCACGAGCGCGTAGGATTTCGAGGATCTTAATTCGGATATCGTTTGAACCCTGAACGGATCTCGCCTACTGTGCGATTTCTGGGTTCAATACGTTTGAACCGTTAGATCGTAGTTAATTCCAAGTATGTTAATCTAGACTTTCCCAGGATCGTATAGTATTTGACAAATCGTAAAACGGAGTCCCGAATACTCCAGAATGGTCAGCCCTAGAGCAGTTTTACTGTAAACAGTTCAATTACAGGTCAGGAACAGAGAAAAGAATTATGTGTGGCTTGATCCCTCAGTAAGGGTACGTAGGCAGCCTCCAGTTATCAGGCGCAGCCATGAGTTAAGGGCTTAGGGTTTATGTTACTGTTTTCAGGGCATTTTGATCATTTGCGACCTACGGTTACTAGGTGTCAGTTTTAAATAGGATTCGGCCCGAATTTCAAAGTGAAATTTGGGTTAGGTCGTTTTAAAAGCAATCCCAAGATGGGTGACCCACTGGAAAGTTGCTCGTGAGCTCCTAGAAATAAAACTGTGAGGGCAGAGAGGGGGGCCAAAGCGGACAATATCGTGCTACGGCGGAGCCGATCCCGGGATGTGACAATTTGGTATCAGAGCCACTCTGCCGTGTGGTGCGAGTGTGCTAGCAAGGACGTCGGGTCCCTAAGGGGGGTGGATTGTAACATCTCACATCGACCAACGGAGAGGGGGTGATGTGACTTATATGTACATGTCCACCTCCATCTAGCACGATGCCTTTTGGAAGCTCATTGGCTTCGGACTCCGAAGTTAAGCGAGTTGGGGCTAGAGCAATCTCAGGATGGGTGATCCACTGGGAAGTTGCTCGTGAGCTCCCAGAAACAAAACCGTGAGGGCATAGAGCGGGCCCAAAGCGGACAATATCGTGCTACGGCGGAGCTGATCCCGGGATGTGGCAGTATAAGATTATGTGAAGGCATTCAATTATATAAGATGGTTGCTTTGATTGAAAAATGAAATTATAATAAAATTAATGTCGCAGATGTGGATAATAATAATAATAATAATATAGATGGCCACATTTTTTTTTTAATACAAGCGAGGGTGGTATTCTCATAAACACTGTCAATGTGTCATAGGAGCTCAAATCTGAGACTACTAGTTTGCAAGTTAATGCCATTTTCCATTAAGTTAGACCGTAAGTATAGATGACCACTTTTGGCTAGATATGTTATGATTATAATTTATATTTGCAAGAATTGTTAGTAATTATCTCTCTTTAAAGAAGTAAACAGTGCTACACATATGTACTATGGATCATCTTGGTACATCTCATTTTTCAAGATGTATATGATGAGGACCAAACTTGTATCTTGCTTGATTATCAATAAAAAAATTCCGGATTTTCAAATTCTGGAAATTTTAGGTGTCTTTTTTCGGATTTTTCATAGCTTGGAAAAATACGTGTATAGACAACTAAGAGTTGAAAGAAATTTGAATGAAACAGGCCTAGCCATGAGGAGAGTCCAATGGTGCAATTAAGATTCCCTCAAGCCCACTTTATATGTATAAGTCTAGGAAAGCCCTAAAAGAAAATATCCAAACTTTTTTTTCTTTCTCATGAGCCAATACAAATAATACAAATCTATAGATATGCCCAAGTCAACTTTGAATATTTTGTCCACCCAACATATGTTTGGTGGAGTCATTCTATAGTAGGAGCCTTATATGTTTGGTGGAGTCATTCTATAGTAGGAGCCTTATATATAGCCTCTATGTGAGGTTTTATTTTTTAATCGTTAGATCAGGCTAGTCAATTTGATCTAACAGCTAACCAATTTGATCAACCAATTAAGATATATGACTTTACGTAAGGGTCATATATAAGGCTCTTAGTATAAAATTCTTTATGTTTGGTGATGGTGAGGATTGTAACCTTTTGTTCTCATCTGATTTTTTTGTTTTTTTGTGGAGAGATTTGTTTGCTGGATTTTTTACTTTCATAAGAGGGGAATGGGCGAAAAAGAGAGAAGTCACGTGCTCACAACATGTCTTATTTGATTAAAATATGAATGAGGGTACAAGATTAGGGTGTATAAGAACTCCTTTAATTTGCAAATTTCTCACTTTTTTCCCCCTAATTGAAAAACACCCATCAACCCAAAACCATGCCCATTTATTTCCATCTCCAACTTCCCTCCAAACTACCATTCCTGACCAAAGATCTCTATACAAATAAATAGCCCCATCACTCCCTACACACTTTGTACTTCCCCAACTTCCCCTTTCCCCTAAAAATCTCATCTCCAATTCACTTGGCACCTTCTCAACCAAAACCCAAACGTCTCCCTCCCCAAGCTCCCATATACAGACTCCCAAAACACATGCTCCTCCGCCGACAAGTGTCAAGCTCCCATTGCGCGAAACCAGCACGGCGAATTCCAGCTCCTCTGCCATTGGCACACCCAGCTCCCTCCACATGTTCGACTCAATCTCATATCCCATCAAGCTGTAGGCCCGGGCCGATGTCATCCAATACAAAACTCCATCACAATACACACTCTCCTTCGGGGTCCAAACTGTTAGCCTCACCGCAAATTCCATTGGCATGGACCCCACAATTCGCCACGTGTCGAGCTGCGGATCGTACATTTCCAATGTGGGCTCGTATGTGGCGCCCCCGCTGGATGCCTCGGACATCCCGCCTGCCACGTACACTCCAGAATTGAGAAATGAATTTCTTGGGAATGAAAGTGTTGAAAGGTGTACAACGCCAATAGCCGGGTTGGTCCTTCTGATGTTTAACGTTGGGAAGGCCTTGTACTGCCTAGTAAACGGGTTGCACATACCCAGCCGGAGAAATGTGGAGTTAGAGGGCCTCAGCAAGAGGAGGCTCTCAAGTGGGCCCACAGGCCTAACTGGGTCCGGCAAGAAATCCAACGGCAGCACATACCAATTGTTGTTGGTGGGATTGAGGGCATAGCAGCAGAGGCCATGGTTGTGCAGTGGCAAGGCTATGAACCAAGGAGGGTGAAAATTGTGCGGCAAAAATGGGCTCTTCGTGAGGCCATGAGGGTAGTGGCTATAAGTAGCTGTGGTGCAGGCACAGGCTTGCCAATGTCTGCATGTTGACTTGGCGCATGCAAAAGAGTCAGCAGAGAGGAAGGAGAAGATGTTGGTGAGCAGATCGGAGGGGAGGCTGCTCCACATAGCGAGAAGGAAAAATTGTGGAATGGTAAAATTTGAAAGGTTCTGTAGAAATGTGGAGGATCTTGTAGTTGCAATAATTGGAGGTGAATTATTTGAAGGGCATATATTGACGTGGGGATGCGTGACCCACATGAGATATCAAAGTATAAAACGTTATCTGATCTGGCCCACATGTGACAAGTTGCTTGATTGAGCCACCAAGGGACAAGAGAGACATCAATGAAATTGGACGATCTCTCTTCACTTTTGGCTTCACTCTTTCTTGACAACTCCTTCTTATTCAATGATTTAATCAAGCACTAAACTATTATATTATTAATTGTTAGTGAAGGCGGCTTGATACAAACTATAATCTGTGAGTTAAGTTTCACATCCGAGAATAAAATAATAATTTATATTTTAAATATGAATAGTCTACTTTTAATTGTACCGAGACTTTTTAAGTTAAAACTTTACATTTAGATGCCCATTGAGCCTAACCCAAAAGGACCCGTTAATACAATTGAGAGAAAATGACATTTATGGTCCTTATTTTCTAGGGTTCACAACTAGGCACTTTCCATAAATTATATGGTTACTTGATTAGCTTAACTGGGCTGAAAGTGACAGATTTAATTTGTCTATCATCAACCAACTTAATCAGAGAATAAGCTGCTTTCAACAATTAATTTTAAATAAGTGAGGAATTTGAAACTTGACTTCAATTTAATTTTATCTGAAACTTAAGTTGATTAAGGTAACATGTGGCCTTCATTAAATTAATCAAAAATATCTTTAATTATTCAAATGGTTTGTGATATAAGAGAGTATTTCCACCCATTTATCATGATAAAAGGCAAGGGAAGACAAGGGTTGTTACTATTCACATGAATAGTGCCCATCCAAGCCATTTTTTTTGTTGCTTTTCCACCCATTGCCATAACAATCCAAGGGCAACTACTATTCACATGAGATATGAGGAGAGAAATTTGTATAGAGTATTGATGTGAGAAGCGAAGAATATGGCTAGGTATTTATGAAAAAAATAAATTGAAATTATTGGCATTTTTTTAGAAATTTTTTTGGATTTTAAAAATTTGTTGTGCTGACTTCATCATTGACGACATAGCTCTCAGGCAACAACACGGGATATTCTTGCCTTCGGGCCTGCCAGGGCTTAGTGGAGCCCATGCTTTACCTGGGTTGTTTTGTATCGCTGAAAACGACTTGAAGGGCCTATGCGCCCTCTTGTCCGGGCTGGGAGGTGAAAGTGAAATTGCTCTAATTGGACCATGACAAGAGCCATAGGGGTTAATTAGTGTATGAAATGATTGTAATCTTCATCTTTTTGGCTCTCCATAAAAACTTTAAAATAAAATAGAATAATTTTTTTGAGATTAGTTACATGACTAAAAGAAGATGTGTTTCATGTTATTCAATGTGATTCATCCACATGTATGGTTTACTTCACTACATACGAATCAAATTAAAATATTTCTTATAGTATTAATAAGTGCATAAATAACTATCAATCGTTGATGCATATAAATCAAACAATACATCAACAATTAATAGTTATTCGCTCACTATATGCTTAACATAATTCATCTTAAAAGACATAGTGCAACTTAAAAGGAATATCTCACTTGCTTATCAAAATTAGTAACTACCGCGTTAATCATGGCAATCACTTAATTGCTATACTCAAGTACACATGGTTGGTGCGACTTTCTTATATTATATCAATAAAACGCCCACAATCACGGTCTTAATTAATTGATTTTTCCTGCATAGGGTCCCTTCACTCAAGTGTCAGCGATCCTCTGTTTCTTTATGAAAGATCTGAAATTCTTTGTGCGATTGGTGCTGGAAGAAACATATATCTGTATCACATGCTTGGGGCTTCTCAATTTCTGGGAATTCGAACCAGGTGATCAAACATATCTGCATCACATGGTTGTCTTACTTGGGGGAGGCTTGTCTCTGTGGTCCTACGCTGATGATGAGCAAAGAAATGGCTCCGGTGGGGATGCTCCGCATAAACTTTTATCCTCTTTTGCTTGTACTTGATGATGCTTTCCAATTAATGAAATCCACTATGTTTGATAATAATAAAATAAAATTATGGACAAAGTAGGTTAGATCCGTTGTATTCAAGTTTGAGTCGCATTTCTCGGAAATTAGATTAATTTAGAATAATTTAGACTATAATTTATATTGAAAGAAAACACAGTTGACATATATCATTGTTTCTTTTACATAAATAGGCCCTCAATAAAGAGCATGAAAATGCTAATACTAATTCATGGGTTTTGTTAGATATGAGTGTATAATTGCATTGAAATAGGGCATTGATTTGCAGACTAGAGGCCTTAGATTCGAACTCTTATGACATTTTAATTGTGTGTAGAGGTGGGCATTCAAATTAGAAAATTGGAAAACTGAGCCAAATTGGACCCAAAAAAATTGGAAACAACTGGGTTAACCAAAAATCGAATCGAGTTGACAAAAAATGAACCGAACCAATTTGGTCCAGTTTCGATTCTAATTTTTGTATTGAAAAATCAGACTAGACCAAACCAGATCGACTGTGTATTTTTTAATAAAATATTTAACCCCAATGTTAAATTTCTAAACCCATAACTAATCTTTCCCCAAGCCCAACTCTAAATCACCTCTCTTTTCTAGGCCCAATTACCTCCATTTGCGTAAAATTGGACCATTTTAAGCCCTAAAAATAAAATTTTAGTTACATTTTGTAAAAAAAAATTTCAAACAAAAAAAAGATTCCGGTCCAAAACCGGAGGTTTGTAAGTTTGTCATACTTTTATGAATACAAAGTCAAAGCCCAAATTATTGAGTGTATGGACCAGTATTATAGGATGGGCTTTATGTATTATTAGAGCCCACTATAATGATAAGACAGTTTTTGTTTTTGAGTACATAACATAAGACAGTTTTTTCAGACAATCGAAAAAAAAAGGAGAAACTTAATTCGACCAAAAATAATTGTCACTAGGTCAATGTGCAGGGTGCACTCCATTCCCACAGCGTCTTCCCCTTCCCTTCGTACTCTGTACGGATCCTCTGGGCAACCCATTAAAAAGCTTCCTTGCCATGGCTTCTTCAAAGAAATGGGCAAGCATCATATCTTCCATTGCTTCATGTGTATATTTCCTTGTCATTATCCTTCAAGTTCCTCTTTTCAGGTAATTTCAGTTTTGTCTTATTTTTCTCTCAATTTCAGTTTATTTTCCCTTTTTCTATAGAACATTAAATGCCTAAAAGAGAAACACATTCAAAGGCCTGGGCTTTAATGACAAATTCTTCCTACATGTTGAGTTCATATGTTAGAAAATTTTACTTACTACCTAGTTTGCTTGTTACAATGAATATGGGTTCTCTTCTCTTTGCCCTAGTTTTAATGGGTTGGATATTATATGCAACAACAGATGTATTAAGTCATATTCATAATGGTCATATACAAATCCATTATGAAACTGCTTTATTTTCATTTGTGAAATCTGGGTTGTGGGTTCTACTCATTCAGATATTTCTTTGGGTTACATTTGCACAAATGGCAAACTACCTACTGCAAAATGATCATAAAGAAATCATAACTAGCACAACCTTTTTTTTTTTTTTTTTTTTTTTTCAATTTCCTGAAGTGGGAACCATTTCAGAAATAGTAATCATTGATTTTTTCTTTTTCTATTTAAATCGTAATCATTAATTGATGTGGGAGTTAATATTAATGAGTGGTGATTTCCCCACTCCTTTTTATCCTATTTTATCCACTTACACTCATTTTTTAGTAAAGTAAACAGGTTAAAATGGGAACAATACCTCTTCACTAGGTATTTGAAATCTTGGGATTTATTGCAGACATGTGCTTAGCCAAGTTAGCTAGAGTGGACGTGCTCCCCACTCTGCATCGGAGTTTGAATCCCTCTCCCCGTAGTTTAGATTAGTTTAGAGTAGAATATTGCTTGTATTTAAAAAAAAAAAAAAATCTTGGGATTTATTTTGGTGGCTTTAGTACTTATGCCACTAAATTCTTCCTGCTTATCGTCATTCATCCTCTTCTTGATATGAAAATATGCTTCCATCCAAAACTAACAAAAGGAAACAAACAATTATGTTAGGCATCCAATATATTTTCAACACTGAAACATATTGTTCTCCTTGCTCCACAGGGTCCCCTGCACAGCTGGAATATGCAGAACACCAATAGAGGTAACATCCTCACAGTTAATTGCATGTGAACTTTTCCCTTTAGTTGTAGTGAAAGCCTTACTTTACCCTGGGGCCTTTGCAAATGCATTGATAAAAAACAGACCAATCCCAAGCTATGATAGCGTGAAATTGTATAACTTCACCAATGTGAAGGCAGCTGATGCAATCTCTGAGCTCCAGCGCCTAGAGGTTAGTATATCAATAACAATCTCACTCAATATCCTGTGTTATATCTACCAAAACTTTATTGTATTTTAGTTTTAATAAGGTGAACTAAGTGGGGTTTATGTGTCTTATAGTATATATGTTGTGATAATTAAACCATAGGTTCTTCTTCCAAATACTGATAAAAATGCAACAAGACAAGAATTTACAGCTATTTGGTAACTTTTTCTCCTATCATACCAGATAAGGAATAATGCAGTAATAGAGCATTTTGAATGAAGAGAAAAAAAAGGAAAAGAAAAAGAGTAAGTACATTATAGGTTAAATATTGTTCTAGTTTTTCTCACTATGGCCTGCACCAGGTTCTTGCTGGAAGCTACTTATCAGTGGCAGGAGCACTTTTAGGTCTCATTAAACCGGGGAGAATGAGCCTTTGCGGTATGCTTCTGATCATATGGGGCTTAGTTAGGGAGATCATTTTGAGAAAATCAACTAGCACAACTCATGTGTATATCTACCCTGCAATGTCAATTGCCCTGTTTTCTGCCTTCTTGTCTATAACAAAGGATGTAAGGAGGATAATTCGTAGTTGCAGACATCCGCGGAATGTAAAAGCAAAACTGTTTTAAGCCTGCCTTCGAAATTCAGAATTTTTTTTAAATCTTCTTTCAGTTGTATCCTTCCTTTTTTACCCCCATGAAAAGGACTACTTGATGTAAATGAATCTTTATCTTTCTGTAAGTATAAAGAAAGGAACAGATTTGTTTCTATTGCATTCAGAAAGCAATTTTCCTGTTAAAAATGGATGAAATTACAGAATACATGGTGCCTGTGGACCAGATGCTGCCATGTCTTACTATATAAGCAAGGTTTTTGTGGTTAGAATCACTTGGTGGGGTTTAGAGGCAATCATATGCACACGGCATTAAGTATAGACTTTGCAAAAGCATTTGGCAACCACTGTTGACCTTACTGATTAAAGAGCCAATAATCTTTTTCTGGTTGATAATATTGTCTGGTTTCAGAAAGCAGTGGGGAAACCAGAAAGCAGTGGTTAGGTGCCACTGTCCAAATAATGAAGTTCATTTCAAGTTGCAACTTGCAAGTATCCAATTTTTCCCAAGCAATTAGTTTAGGTGATTGAAACAAAGCATAAAAAGAACAGAAAATGAAGTTCAACGATGTTATTATTATTATTATTATTTTTGTGTAAACAGATTTCATTAATTTTTTTCTAACTTATTTACAAAAAAGAAAAATTACAAGACTACAGTCATGCATGCCAACCCGAACCCTCATCAGTTCATGTTTAAAGGAAGTTCCTCTCGTATGAGCCGGAAGAAAACCGTGACGTTAAGGCTTGATTCATGTTTTCTGAATCCAATTTTACTCTGTTTCCCCTCTTCCAAATTCTTCTCACGATCCCAAGGCTTCCACGGATGTTTCCCCACCCAGTCCTCCTCCTCTGTCTGTTGTTTCTTGGATTTTCTCTTTGAACGCTTTGCAGTCTCCTCTTTGTGTTTTTGCAAAAGTGATTTTGATCGTTTTTCTTTATTGTATTTGTCCACCAAATCTCCATTTGAAACCTTCCTTTTCTTTTCCCCCGCATTTGAAGCAAAGGCTGCAGCGTCATTACTACTGTTAAATCTTGTCGATCGCCTAGGAGGCACACCGTGTTTCTTTTCGGGTGGCAGCGTTGTCATCCACTCATCTCTTTTTGGTACCACCTTAACATCCATTATGTCTGCTAGGAGCTCATCATCACCCTCCATTCATATTCCTTGTAACTTTCTCCACCGTGCAGCCTCACGCATTGCCTTCAACTCAACCCTAAATTTTTCGCGTTCCTCCTTGAGTTGAATTTTGTCATCCAGCATTTTCCTCTTATCTGGATCTTGTAATTCTTTGAAAGCTTTGTTCAACTTAACAAATGCTTGTTGAGCGCGAGGATGCGAGCATTTATCAGGGTGCACCAAAAGAGACATCTTCCAGTACCTTTTCTTTATATTCTCAGCTGACATATTTTGGTTGGCTCCTAAGATATCATATAAATAAACTATCATCCGCAGAATCCATGATCCTTGTAACCTCTTCAAACCGCTCAGCTTCATTAGCTGATTCAGTTTCAGCAACCACGGCAGGTGGTGGAGGTCCTATAAAAAGTTCACTATCTTCTTTCAACACAGCTTCTCTGAGCTCAGCCTGTGCTTCTGTCAGTTTGGCTGCAGCAGCAGCAGCAGCAAGCAACTCAGCTGATGGCAACGAAGGGCCAATTATCCTTCGTTTAGGACCAGTATCATTTTCCTCCATGCATCTGCTCGAGCTGCCGGAAGCGTGTCTGGCCATGCCGCAGCAGTGGCGCGCGATTGTGGGAAGAGAAGAGGAGAAGAAGAGAGACAGAGAGCAGAGAAGAAAGAGAGAGGAAAGATACCAGAGGGCGTTGAGAGAGAGTGACGAAGGAAGAAACACTAACAATTTAATTTAATTTATTTTTTATTTTGCTAAGAAACCTTTAATATTGTTGTTATAATAAGTAAGGAATATAAAAGAGAGAAATATTTGAGGGAATTGTGAAAGTGTTTTCCCCTTCCTCGTTAACCTCTTATTTATAGGGAATCAGGTGATTAGAGATGGGGCCATCTAATCTCCTAGTTATACATGGATTCCCCTTTTAGTATCAAAAAAGGATTTTAGCCTTTTCAGAAGCACGTTAAATCATATCATTTCTAATTACAATAACAATAAAACTTGTCCGTCCCAAAATTATATTAATTTAGTCGAAGATGGAATATGGTAACATTGATAGAATTTTAATCCACTCTAATTTTATCTTCCGCATAAAAAAGTATTATAAATTCACCACTTTTTTACTTGCATAAATTTCGTCTACATTAATAGGATCCACCTCTCAATATTTTTTTTCACCGAATTGAAAGAATCTCACAATCACAAACTGAAAGACGGACAAGAAGACTTTCATACTTGAGATGATGAAATGGACCCCCAGCCCCAGGATCAAGTTGCAAAACATGCACAGCCGCACAGATAACGCAGACACGTGTTGTCTGAATACGTTAAATCATATTATTTGTTACAAAATCAGTGGCTTCCATTGGTTCAGGGACAAACAAGGCTTCATTTGTTTAAGTGCTGAACATGATGTAATTCCAACTTTGATACTGTTAGAGGCACAAACATTTGTCCCATTTGTTCCATTAATGAATTATGTCTTTCTTGTGGGGCCCCCAAAGCAAATAGGTCCATTTGGCGATAACAATCCCCAAACCCTGGAAAACATGTACCTTGGTCTTTTGTTCTTCTTTGTAGCTGTCATCATGGAGAGAGAAATACAGAGATTTTTGGGGTTTTAGAGTTGGGTTTTGCCTTTCTCAGTTTAAGAACAGAAAGGGAGAGAGTCCATGGATTTGCTTAGCTAGACTTGGTAGTTTCCTTGGGAGTAAGTAAGCTATAATTCAGTGATTGCATTTACTGCATAATTCTAAAACCAGATTCTGCTTTTTTGGTGAAGTTTGAAATGTATACAGAATTATAAGCTTTTAGCAGTGATTTTGGACTTTTTGGTGTAGATTGATTGATGGAAGCAACGTCTTTGTGCACTTGGAAATATCCTTTCTGCAAATTGGGCTTCGTGAATACACATAGAACCCTGTATAGGACAAGGTTGAATGTTGGTCTAGCTTTAAGTCCATCCCCAGTGCTCTTACACACAGATGGAAGTGGCAAGTTTCAAGAGTATAAGAAGGGTTCTGGTTCAAATACAGTTGGTATAATAGGAGGGTTATCTGTTAATTCTACTCTTAATTTTTTGAGAAACCTTGTTAACTGGAGTTCAAGAGATGGAGAAAGTTGTCCTCCTTTTGTTCTTTGCTCTGATCCTGCGTTGAATAAGGAGCTGTTATCGATTGAGAGACCTTCTTTTCCTTTTGTTAGCCGTAAAAATGAAGGTACAGAATTGGATCCTACTCTGATTGTGGAGAATTTGAGGAGTAAGAGGATTTATCTTGAAAATTCGGGATCTCGTTGCATCGTAATGCCTTGTCATATTTCACATTCTTGGCATGATCAAATTTCAGAGGGATGTTCTGTTCCTTTCCTTCACGTGGGTGAGTGTGTTGCCAAGGAACTCAAGGAAGCAAAGTTGAAGCCACTTGAAGCTGGGAGTCCTTTGCAGATTGGAGTGCTTGCAACCTATGCAACTTTGAAAGCAGGATTCTATCAAGAGAAACTGCTGAATGAGGTAATTCGATTCTGCATATTCTCTTTCAGATTGTCCATTCTTGTATAGTTGGGACATGGTCCTGGAAATGGTCAGTCTGTTTATAACAGATGACCAATTCCCCAGGAAGAAAAAAGATGTTTTATGCAGACATGTCAAATGATACTGCTGCAGAAGATCATGGTTTTGAGGGAATTGGATATCCAATGTAATTTAGGTTACATCACAAGAGAGATGAGCTTACTAGTTTTCTTAATAGGATTTTAGAAAGTTCACACACACACCATTCTTGGCCATTCTTTATTTTTTTCTTTGGTGAAAACACTCCCCATTCTTTTGATTAATTAGGGTAATTTAGGTTTATATTAAGACTTTGTGTCATTTTGCTGAAAATTTTGATTGAAATGAAAACACTGAAATTTCAAATAGCATCCTGTTCTTGCCTGTGCCTGCTAAAGATGGCTATTTTGCAAGATGGTTATAACTGATACTGATTAGAATTGTACATTTTTATTGCTACATCATGTCATGGTATTCATTTGACCACTCATTAAGTGCAGGGTTTTGAGGTTGTTCTGCCAGATAAAGCAACCATGGAACACACTGTAATCCCTGCTTTGGAAGCCTTAAACAGAAAGGACACAGAAGGGGCACAGAATCTCTTGAGGATTGCAGTCCAGGTTCTTCTAGTGAGGGCTGCCAACGCTGTAATTCTTGCCTCCGATGATTTGCGGGATCTTCTTCCCCCGGATGATCCTCTTCTTAAGAAATGCATTGACCCTATGGATGCATTGGCCTGGTCAACCATAAAATGGGCTCAATCTGCTAAAGAAGGTACATAAAAGAGAAAACAGTTCCTCCTACTTGAATCTTGATATTAATGTAAAATATATTACTTCATCAATTAAATGTTGCCCCTGCATTCTTTTGTAGTGACTTTGTGAATTAAATGTTATTCGAATGACGAAAGAACTCTTTGAAGATTACCAATGAAAGAAGTAGCTCATACTAATCCTTAATTTTGTTAAAATGGCTCTGGTTAAACATGGTATTTGACCATACTGCTGCAAGGAAATGATGAAAATCCTAGATTTATATTGTGTGCCATCATGGTAAAAGCAAAACCCATTACAAATCCAGCATCTATTTCAGCCTTAAAACTTCCTACTTTGACTTCTTAATTCTTTTTTGAAGATGGTCTTTAAAGATCCTAGGATATGTCAAATAATGAGTAAAAATACAGGGGAGCAAGCTGGGATCACTATCTCCAGCAGGGCCTTTGCTATCCCAGAGCTTACCTTATTTCCTGTTCTAAATTTCCTATTATCTTGTGGTAAAATCCAATATCCTATAGCTGAGTTATGGTGTGTAAAAATGGTGAGGAAGGCAGCAAAGCAAGCAAGGGTGCAGGATTATTTAGAAATTGGAACTCTAGGGCCTTGAGATTGAAAGTCCTAAAAGGGTTCTATCCTCCACATTCAGACTTTCTGAAGCTAATTGCATTTGCAGGAACTATGGACAAGACATTACATCTCATTGACATATATAACACACAATAACAATCTAGTATAAATAAAATCGTTCTGTCGATTTTTCAATCATACATATAATTCTCATCCTTGTATACAGTCGATGAGAACTGTGGGTAGTGTTTAAAGCATTCAAGGAAACAAAATATCTGGTACATCTTGTTTTATTGCAAAGACACACACACACACATATATATAGAACCTTTCGTTTTAGTAAGTAAAAATATCTACTGTTAATGATTCTTACAGCCGTTGTAGCAGGCTCCAAAGTAGCTTTCCACTTGAGCCATACTTGTCACGTAAAGAATAGGGAAATTTGCATAAATATCACATAAACTTTCAGGTATGTGCGTCATTACCACATGAACTTTTAATTTTTATTTTTAACCACCTGAACTTTGTAAAGTGTTGTAATCCACCACCTACATCTAACTCCGTTAAAATTTCTGTTAAGTTTATGACCTTTTTGGGATATTTATATATACTAGGAATGCAATTGATTCCTTCCCAAAACCCATGATGAAGTTACAAAATTTAAATTCTAGCTTTGATGTTAAATTTTTTGAATTTGCTGGATTGAGGGTGAGAGAGAGTAATTGTAGTCTGAATTTTTTCTTTCTTTCCGATATGCAAACTTCCATTGAAATGAAGGACAAGCCTTTGAACAAATAGTGCAAGCCATGAAATGAATGTAGGAAGGCTTCGGCTATAAAAAAAAGAAAGAAAAAAAAGGAAATATAGGAGGGCAACAAAATCTATGGGCCATTGCAATCTGATATGATATTTGGTAGAATAAAGACGACGGAGTAGAGAGAAGAGAGAGAGAGAGATAAGGAGGTTAACTTTATTTTTTTTGTATTTTTAATTCTGTTTTTTTATATAATTATTTTTAGTTATAATTCATTGACGAAAATACCCTTAAATTTAACTGAAACTTTAACGGAGTTAGACGTATGTGGTGAATTGCAACACTTTACAAAGTTTAGGTGGTTAAAAATAAAAATTAAAAGTTCAGGTGGTAATGACGCACATGCCTGAAAGTTCATGTGGTATTTTTGCAAATTTCCCTAAAGAATAACAATGATTAAATTCGAATCAATTTTACGTCTAGCTCAGATTGTACACTTTTGATTATGGGTTCCTGCATCTTTCCATATTGTAGATAATTAACTTTATACCAATCCCATGATATACATTTTCATATTTGTGTAAGGAATCTCAGTGAGGTTCACATGTATAAAGTCATTATTGTTATATGTCATTTCACACATGAATACAATCCTTATGTAACTTGCAAGGGTGGTCCAGTTTGGTTTCGTTTAGGATTCAAACCGTAAACTGAATCATTGTAACATAACGGTTCAGATTAGTTCGGAGCAGGGCTCAAAATAGTAGCATAACTAAACCAGTCCATTTAGTGACTAGTTGAGTGAGTCATTACCCTTGCAACTAAGCAAATATTCTATCTTCTTTTACTTATATAAAAGGGAACTCAATTGAACTAGAGTTGAGAAAACTTTTTATCATAGAAGACAGAAATTTTGAAAGATGTCTAGAGAAAGAGGCCTAGGGAAGCTTACCAGTTGCAAACTGGGTGCTCAAGGACTTTGTACAACCAAATGTACTACTGTAGACACCATCCACTAGAGTTCTAATGTTGGGCTCCATACATGTAGTCGTACATTTTGAGTAGACTGGGTACTCTGATGATTCCTTCATGTATCTGTTCACACACCGTTCCCCACAAGCATAAACTTTCTTATTTATCGGACTCATAGGAGCCTAATCAGGAGATGGTGCAGGAGCTGAAACTGGGAAGTCACTTATTCAGTTATCATTATCATCAGCATCAGCATCAGCTAGAACACTTGTTGCCAAACACACTATTAACACTACCGGTATCACCAAACCTCTTGGTACAACCATTCCACCCATTTGCTCCCAAGCCCAACTCGAGTTCTGTACTTTTTGAAACTTAATGTTGTGTTGTCATTTTGAAGTTTTACCCTAGTTGTTTTATAGGGTCTGTAATAATAATAATCCTTGAATTAAATCGAATATTTTCTGTATATTGTAATTTGTTACTGTCATTGATCTTGATATTTCAAGCGAATATTTTCTGTTGAAGTTACCCTCTGCCGGTAAAGTTGGGGTAATATATGTTTTCATAAGTAAAATTTCTACTGGCTTTTGAGCTACTGAGAGTTAAATTATTGTCCTTTTGATCAAACCATAGAGAAATTTGAGAAGTTGACTATTGGAAAAGTATTTGTAACAGATGAAAAAGCCAACAATTGAAGCTAGAGCTCGGAAGGTGGCTGCGAATATTTCTAAATGAAAGTTATTTGTTGAAATATATTAGGAGCAATCCAAGTTGTCCGTTAATCATTCTCCAGATTTCATTTCTCTCTTGGGCTTGGCAAATAAAATCAAGGGGCAAATGTCACATTATCTCTTGCAAATTTTATTACAATGATTCGAACCATCTATCATATCATATTCATAGATCACTCTTGCAAAAAAGAAGACAAATTTAAAGCCTTTAAGACATATAATTGTGACCAACAAAATAGGCAAACAAGATTCTTCAAGAAAACAATAAAATAACAACCACTCAATTGAGTGTTCAAATGGATTCGGATTGAAGTGATGTTTTGCAGAGATCCTTGCAAGAATACATAAAAATATACGGTTCGGCAATGGACTTATAGCTCAACTGGCCAAGCGTATTCACCCATGCACTCAAGGTCCCAGTCGTGGACAATTTGAACACAAAGTTTCTTGAAAGTGATGACTTTTCTAGAAAATGTTGACAACTACAAAAGTCCAAAAACGTCAAGGAAGATAAACATAGAAAGAAAATCAACATATGTAATAGACTTGTTAATTAATTAATCAGACTTGCTAGATTGTTAAGTTTTGCTTTGTCTCTTCTCTTCCTACCCATTTAATTTATCAAGTCATTAGTTCAAAGTCGTTTTAAAAACACAGGTTACTCTTTCTTTTGCCATTATTTAAATAGACCAATAGCTATATTAACAAAAAAATAATAATAAAAAATTGAAACATCCAATATTGAAATTGGATGGCCACAGTTGTCATATATGTCTCATGAGAAATTAATAAATTGATTCTCTGGCAATGGGTAAGATATATTTGAATGAATAACTTCTTTTTATTTATATTTTATCCATTATCACAAAAGAATACATTTTAAGAGTAGTGATTTCCCCACTCCAATTTTATTTACTTACACTTTTTTTATAGTTATAAAATAGAGTGTAAGTGGATAAAATTGGAGTGGGAAAATCAGCACTCCATTTTAATTGACTAACCACTGTTTCTTCATTACATTAGTTGGGTTGGATTAATAGTAACAATATAACATCTCATATTACCAAACTTATAACATGGAAACATTAGCAAATTAAACTTTACGCTGGATCCAAAAGCTAATTTTGACCAATTAAACTTAGTAGTGTCAAAATCCATACCTAGAGACCTCTTGTTGTCAAATTAACCAGAACCATCAACATGTCGGAACGATTTGTTGGCGATAATAATATCAATACCTTAGTGATAACATATTGACAATCATGTAATTATTAAAGTTCAGACATCATGTACTGAGCCGGACTATAATACATTGCCTTAAATGCTTTTGGAATAAAAAGATGTATCCAATTAATCTGGTAAACGGACATATCAGGGAAGCCCCTCCTCACTTTTTTTTTTTTTTTTTTTGGGTCGAAATCGAGTTTCATTAAATAGAAGGTCAAAGCTAGAATACATCAAATTGAACTCAAATAATTGAGTTCACACAAAATGCAATATAAACAGACATAGAGTCCACTACAAATAAAACTAACAAAATGCATAAAGAAAACATAAAAGCATTAAGCCCACATAATAGCAAAAAGCCCACAAACCATAAAATACAACACAACATTAGGAAACCCAACACCAATAACAGGTATGTGCCGCACAATCCAACAGCCACAAGCCGCCCCACCAAAGCAAGCCGACAACCACCAAAGGGAAACCAGTAACCAACAGAAAATGGTGGTGAACAAGCCACTCAAGCTACACCGAGTAGGAGTAGCGCTACCATAATCCAAGCGATAAGTGCTATTTGCACTTTAAGGGCATTCCAAACACCATAAGTTCCACCGAAGATAAACAACGGAAGAAACATCCGTGGAGTCAAAGAGCCGATGATAGTGGTTAAGACCAAACAATGCGACGCAACCTCCAACATGGAGGAGAGAAAATGCATTGCAAAAACCTGTAAAGAGCACAGCAAGCCCGAACACTCCAGGAAAAGCACAGATCCAACAAAACCACCCAGAACGACCAAAATCGAGGGGCAGTCCCTGGAGACGAAAAGAGCTCGCAGCACTAGCCACCACCACAAGACCACAGGGCAACCGATAGATTGGGCAGACAAACTGAATCCACCAAGACCCACCCCAGATCCCAGCACAGGCTGGGAGGGAGAGGGAACGGGGTCAAAACAGGGGATTCAAATCCCAGATCTGCAAAAGAAGCAAAACCAAAAACAAAGGGCCAAAACTAAGCCACCAAAACCCAACAACAAAACGCCCAGCCAAGTCAAAGAAAAAGAGGAAGAGGAAAAGAGAGCAAAGGAGGGAGGGGAGGAGCAGACTGGAATCTAGGAAGGAAAAGGGTAGGGAGGAAGGGGGAAATGCAGAGGCCACCCACCCCCAAAGGGGGTGGCAGCTAAGTCTTCAAAACTAGGGTTTTCTTTCTAGAGACAGGGAAGCCAGAGAGAAAGAGAGGATAAAGCTTCATCCTCATTATCCGAAAAGCTTAAATTATGTGAGTTCATTAACAGCCCCTCCTCACTTACAGGCTCTGAAGCGAGGAAGAAAAGCATTTCGAGCCGCTTGGTCCTCCCACTCTAAGCCATTCCACCACTTTTCCTCTCCTTCAATAATGAGATTACCTGTTTGAGCACTGCTAGAGTTGAGAGGCAGCTTACCGAGCACTGGACATCCAGATATAAGGATTTTCTTCAGAAATGGAACGGGCAAGAAATTTTCACATATTATCCACAACTGGGGTAGTTTGCTCAAATGCAAAACAGTGAGTTTTGCAAATGGGGCAGTTTCCCTTCTTTCCATACCGAGTATTGTCGTCATTTTAGAGCAGCCATATACATGCAAGTGGCTGAGATTTGGAGCAAAAACGAGCCAGACCAGGTTCTTGAGATTCGTGCAATCTACTACTTCTACGAACTGAAGACCAAGGAAGCAACTCGGATTTGCCGGACGTGTTTTCTTCCAAGAGTACAGATCCACCATACGTTTAATTTGAAGGGTATCAAGGTATTTCATATTTGCCTTCGCCACATCTGATAAATCAAGATAGCTTGAAGGGTTCCCGTAATATTCCTCACCCTTGAGGCATAAAGTTAGAGTGCAAGTCACTAATATGTGGTGGCTGTCCAAATTCAGGAAACAAGAGGTATCTCCTACTGTCAAAGACAAGACGTCAAGGTGTTTCAAACCCTGCAGTTCGTCTATCATGGTTTTCTCATTGTAAAAAAAAACTCGGTTAGAAGAACCACAATCTAGTATTCTTAAAACTTTAAGCAGCGGGAAACTTGATAATAAATTTGGTGGAACATAATCAAGCTTAAATGTATGCTCTAAGTTCAAATACTTTAGGCATGCACATGTCATTATCTCCACCGGCAACCGTTTTATGCCTGTTTTGGACAAGTTCAGATGCTGTAATGAAACTAGATTTGAAACTCCAAATGGCAGTTGAGTTATAAGGATATTTTCAGACAAATCCAAAACTCGTAGCGTAGGCATGAAATCAAAGTAGTCATCCACAATCCTCTTTAAAAAACTTCCTCTGAGAAATAAGGTCAACAGATTGGGAGATCTTGGTGTTTCATCTAGAGATTTGATACCACTACTACCCATCAATGAAACCCTTTTCGCGTTCTTCCATTTTGCAACATTTGGTGCATGATAAACACCTGTATCCACAAGGATGTTCTCACCTTCTTTCCCAAGGTCACAAGCTAACCACAATGCCATGTCACGAATTACATCATGCATTTTTACTGAATCTCCTTCATCTTCCAACAAACATGAGGTAAGAAGAGTTCCTATGATATGATAACTCTCATTTTTGGCTTCCTCTACATTACCATATTCATCTAATATATCCTCACACATCCAAAAATATACCAAGTCATCTTTACGTATGACAAAATCTTCCGGAAACAGAGCACAGTATAAGAAACATGATTTAACTTTCTGACTTGGTAAATTATCGTAACTGAATTTTAAAAGAGGGAATACCTTATCTCCCATTCCTGAAAACTCAGAGGCAAATCTTCTCAGGACTTGAACTGCATGCTTCCACTCTTGGGGTGTTTTCTTGCAGGCCATGACCCTGCCTACTGTGATGAGTGCCAGTGGCAAACCGCCACACTCCTTCGCCACAATTTCAGCATGCTCGGGGATATCTGGATGAAGAAGAAGTGTTTCTTTCCCAACCTTCTCCTGAAACAAGTTCCATGCTTTTTCCCAAGTCAAACACCCCACCTTAATCTTCTTCTGGGCATCCATCTGACCACATACCTCCTCAGAGCGAGTTGTGAAAACTATCTTGAACTTGTTCCGACTGTCAGGAGCTAGAACCCCTACTTCGGTTAATTTAACCGGCTCCCATAAATCATCCATTAATAACACAAACTTCTTTGTGTTCAAGATTCCGAAGATGTCTTTAGCTTTTTCATGCTGCTCTTTATGCTTCCATTCACCACTAGACAGCCCAATCTTTTCACCAATCTTATCTTGAATAACTTCAATTTTGTGGCCCTTGGATACCACAATCCAGATCACAAGATTGAAATCATTACGAGTGCGGTTGAAGTTGTTATGGATATGGGTAAGGAGGGTGGTCTTCCCCACCCCACCCATTCCATATAAGCCAATCATTCCCACTTGTTCATCTTCAACGTGTCTCCAAACCTGATCAAAAATCGGCTCCATGCCCACTGTTGGCTCACTAGGTATCACATCTGTTGATGCTCAAAATGGTTAGGTCAAGATTGAGTCCAAC